CGCTCTGAGAAGACTCATAAACACATGAGAATGGCAATAATTGAACCTGCTTTTGGATAACTTACTCCCAACTGAGTTCTCAATGGCTTCCTGTGCCTTCTGAATGCCAAGACGGAAATCTTGAAGCTCTGGTCTTAACTTGTTGCCGCGGTGATAGTACATTAGCGCCGACTCAAAGTTGCCCATCTGATAGAGGGCTTCTGCCTTCTGAAGCAGTCCCTGTCAAAAAAAGATGTCAAATGTCTTGAATATTTTAGTAGATTTCCACTGTAACATTTGCTGTATTTTAGCCAAATCTCGACAAAAATCAGACTTAAAACACACAGATCCAAAGTAACTTGCTGCCACCACAAGCCTAGCTCCAGAAAAAAATTGGGTTTGGAGACAGTATCAAAGGATCGACAGAAAAAAGAGCTGTTAAAGTATAATTCAAGAATTTTCTGCTTTCTGAAAGTCAAATTCTGCTTTCTTCAACTTTCTAAATTTTGTGTACAAAAACTGTATGTGACTGGACATATGTACTGTAGGCCTACATTTACAGGTATCTTTGGCATAATGATACATGTAGGGCCTACACGCACCATGCCACTGTGATCTTGGACTGGTCCCCGTCCCTATTGATTTATTCATAAGCCGTAAGACGTCTGGGCACTATGTAGGGAATGGGACCTGTGTGATCTCCGCAGTGCGGAGCCGGAAGAAATCAATACCAAATTCTGCGATATCGCAAAGAAAAAACAGCTGGGGAAACGCTACTAAATGTTACTTTCAAAGTGAGTTAAACAGTGAAAATGAGTTGTCATTCTTAATCTGGGTTCATATTTATTTGATTAATTGTGCAGAAATGATCAAAAATATTTATTTGTTTTATTATTTTTTTTTACCAAGAATTGCGTTTTCCACTTTCTACCCCCAAGTCTGTGATTATTGCAGATTTTCCGCAAAGCAGAAAACTCTGGACTTTAACTTAATGTAATTACATACAGCACCAATAATGCTCACTAGGGTTTTTTGGTAGTATTTGGAGAAATGTGACCATTTCAGTTTCAATGAGTTAAGTTAACCTTTTTGAAGCATGGTGGACACAACAGGAAAGCACTATTTGAAGCATAAATTTGGGTTTAAAAACAATTTACCCAAATCAAACAGCACCTCCCTATTGTGTCCACCATACTTCAAATAGACTAATGGAGTGAACAACGTTCATAACAGGAGACAGTATGCTTGCTTGGCATCTTAACTTTAATTCACATATTACCCTAACAAGAAGAACCTTGAAACATGTCAGTCTCCAACTTATAGTGGTTTGGTTATGTCATTGTGTGGTGGGGTTTAAGTGACAGTTTATTCCTTTTTGTCATTATTTGTTATAATCATGGAATACTCTGTGTCAAAGGCACAGTGGTGAATCACCAGTACCGAGTTAAGGCCGGTTCATACTTCATGCAAATGCAAAAGCCAAGCGAATTTGACGTCATAACAACTTTGCGGTGAAATTTCACTCAAGGTCAAATGTGTTCAACTCTTGCTAATTTGCAACATGAATATTTGAAATGATGTCACAAATTTGCATTCACTTTTATTTTCAGGCAAAGCACGAGCCGGCCTTTAAGGGTCAAAGAGTCCACTGATTTGTAAACTCACCTTGATGTATTTCTCATCTTCACTAAGGGAGGCGTTGGCGTCCTCAAGTGCAGCCTTGGAATCGCCAAGCTGTAAGTGGCATTTGGAGCGGGCTACCAGGCAATTTTTGTCGGACGGTTCTATTTCCAGAGCCTAAAGGAATACAGACAAGTACTTAGAGTGGAGTACATGTAACTGGCGAATGTTATAGTAGGGTTAGTTTCAAGCAACAGATATTAAATTGTTACCTTTTTTTACAGGTTTGTCACAGCAACACAATGCATGTTCATTTTTTTTATACTGACAGCCCCTGTGTTCATTATGTTAGTGTTGATCAATTCTTATCGATGTACCACTGTTTTTGGCCTGGAGTTACATGTACATGTAATTTTCTAAGTCTATAGCAACAACCATTGCGCCTTTTTGAAATCATAAATTCCCCCTTTTGCCTATTTGATTTAATTACATCTGTACATGCTGTGTTTTGATAGCTTCATCAGCGACACCAAGAGTCAATTTAGACTTGCTCTACTTCTTCTCAACCTGATTTTTCAGACCTTATTTTGTGGTCGCAAATAGGAGAGTTGGAAAATTTCATGACTTAAGGTTAAATAATTTTTGGGTCTACTTTCTTCCCTAAATGTTTCACCATTATTGCAAGGGTCATGTAGTGTACAGCGTACATGTACAGCTAGACAGCAAACTCATATTAACGTGGATGATGTGCATGGTGTTACAATGCATACGTGCAACAAAAATCATTCTGTGAACACTGTGGAATCTTCTTGAATCTAATACCACAGGTAGACACACTAGAAGTCTGGTGAACAAGTGCAAGCACTCTCAAACCACAAAGTGCCACGGAGACCCGGAAAGCCTTACGAGGTTGTAGCTCTCTAACGCTCTCTGGTAGTCCCTCTTCCTCATGTGATCTTCGGCTTCCCCAATGTACGACTGGAGTAGCTTCAGCTGTTCCTCTCTCTCTAGAGCTGGGTCGACGTAATCCATGACTCTTTAATCTATGAACTCCTCAAAACTTGTCAAACAAGTACCTCACCAAGTGTCGAGTTCACTGGTTGATTTTCTATTCCAGTACCAAAGTTCAAACCAATGGATACATGGACAATGTTCCAAGTGTTGTAGTAACCCTCAACGACTTCAGACTCTAATTATCTTCCTTTCCTGGAATTAGTCTCTAAACCTTGTGTATGTCTCCCGTGTGATTTCCTCTTTCACAAGCACACTCAGAATTCCATTCTTTCAGCTAGGCCAAATTCAAAGTCACTGTCTTTGTAAAGACTCCCTGGACAAAGATTCTGTCGGTCTTCATGCCCAAAATGTTGCAGCAGGTGACATACATTGTGCATTTCAGAATCCAAACGTAGGATCAGAAAAGCAACATGGAAGTTAGTTAGTCCTCACTGCCGGCTATCATGGCTCTCATAGCAACAGCATCTTGGTTCATGAATATGCATGCCTAATGACACCTTCTTACCTCAATTGATTTCTTCAAGATAAAGCCTATTGATCATCATTTCGAATCAATACATTGACAACACTGATTAGTCTAGCCTGGCATGCCTCAGCATGGCTCGTAAGCCTTGCTTAATCCTCTTGCTGATAATGTTTTCAGGCTATGTACAACTTTATAAAAAAAAATAGCCGAGCCCAGCTTTGCCAATTTTTTTTTTAAAATACAGTTTGAATGATCCAGCATGCCTGTCAATTGTCGTGATATTTTCTAGTAAAAAGCATACAAATAAGAGAATTAGGCCTAGGCTTAACAGGTTTCAGTCATACGAATCATTGCCATCAGCTAATACTACTAGTACTAGTATTACCAGGGCCAAGTAAATTAGCAGCGGTCCCTCAAATTAAAATAATGGGGCCTAGTATGACGATGGAAACAATGTCATGATTGACATACATGTAGCCTATGAATAAATCCCCGCTCCAAGAAGGAATTCCTCAAAGAATATCCATCTGGCAAAACAACTGAAAAGAGTGCAAAAAAGTTGTTAGCTTCTTAGATTTTGACTTGCAGGCAGACTCTGACGAAGTCTTACTCACTGTAGTGTAACTTTCTAGAGCTTTCCTGTATTCTCCCTGCTTGTAAAGAACATCTCCTTCAGCAACAAAAATAGCGAAGGAATCCTTGGGGAGCCCCTCTGAATTTTGGTCGTCGAAATCCATCTTTCCTAAATCGACTTTCTAGTCAAGAGAAGAATATTGATCCAGAGTATCAGCTGACTATCTTCTCTTTCATTCAATCGATGTCAACAGAACCAACGCTGACGCGCCACCCTATATGCGCAGCCTANTATAAGAGGCCGAACATGTACTGTACGTGTGATGCACTTTTACGTTTACCTTAGCAACAACACAACTGCATATTTTTGACTGGTACTCGTCGCAGGTTTACCAGTGCTACTGCAATAAAGGATGATAGCGCCACCAATGCCTCGGGAGAGTAAGCTTTACCAAATTCAACATCCGGATCCACGTGTGGGCCTTCTGCGGCATAGGCATATTTTCATGTATTACGTGTATTTCATGTATTACAATTTTGATCGAGGTATGAAATTAACGCACTAAGCTGCATTAAGCCAGTGCATAGAAATGACAATTTTGTAACCGTAATGTGGTAGTTGGTTGTCAACTTCTGGAACTGTTTGTTGTTTTCAGCTAACATTGAGAAAAAATTTGTGTTCTTTAAATAAAAATAAATACATAGTATACGGAAACATTTTTATCACGCAGATACAATACAAATATACTCAACTCCGCATAACAATACCTATCACTAGTTGAGGTGTAAATTAGGAGTTGGAAAAAGCCTCTTTAAAGAGATGAGTTTTAGCAGAACAAATGCATCAACAGATTGGCACTTCTTACATGAAAGGGCAGGTTGTTCAAAAGCCTTAGGACTTGGGAGCTGCACAAACAAATGCAGTCTCCAAGAGTAGCCTTAATTCTGCAATAGGGATGTGCTGAGGATCAACCTGTCGTGTGAACTGCAAAGACAGTGTGGCTGGGATTTAGTGGACAGTAATTCAGAGATGTGAAGCCATGAAAAGCCTGAAATGTAATCAAAAGTTTTTAAATTTTAAATATTTCTTAATTGAACAGGCAACCAGTGTAATTTAACCAATGAGGGGGAAATTTGGCAGTATTTGGCAGTTACACACAAGTCTAGCACGAGCATTCTGCAGTCTCAGTGGCCTGGAATTAGGAAGTCCATATAACAAACTATTACAGCTGATTTGATGAAACTAACAACTTCACTCTAAAATCCAGCCGTCGAAAATATTGCTTTGGTCTTCAGGTTGGATGCAGCCTGTCAAAATTTTAACTGTAGCATAAGTCAGGGGCACCCGAGGTACAAACTTTTCCCCCCCAAGCGGAAACTTTGGCTCGTACATAGGTTGTGCAAATATTGAAACTTCAAATGGGGGGAGAGGGGCAAGGAGAACNGGAGGAGGCCGAACATGTACTGTACGTGTGATGCACTTTTACGTTTACCTTAGCAACAACACAACTGCATATTTTTGACTGGTACTCGTCGCAGGTTTACCAGTGCTACTGCAATAAAGGATGATAGCGCCACCAATGCCTCGGGAGAGTAAGCTTTACCAAATTCAACATCCCGATCCACGTGTGGGCCTTCTGCGGCATAGGCATATTTTCATGTATTACGTGTATTTCATGTATTACAATTTTGATCGAGGTATGAAATTAACGCACTAAGCTGCATTAAGCCAGTGCATAGAAATGACAATTTTGTAACCGTAATGTGGTAGTTGGTTGTCAACTTCTGGAACTGTTTGTTGTTTTCAACTAGCATTGAGAAAAAATTTGTGTTCTTTAAATAAAAATAAATACATGTATAAGGAAACATTTTTATCACGCAGATACAATACAAATATACTCAACTCCGCATAACAATACCTATCACTAGTTGAGGTGTAAATTAGGAGTTGGAAAAAGCCTCTTTAAAGAGATGAGTTTTAGCAGAACAAATGCATCAACAGATTGGTACTTACAGGTGTATATGAAAGGGCAGGTTGTTCAAAAGCCTTAGGACTTGGGAGCTGCACAAACAAATGCAGTCTCCAAGAGTAGCCTTAGTTCTGCAATAGGGATGTGTTAAGGATCAACCTGTCGTGTGAACTGCGAAGACTGTACAAATGTGGCTGGGATTTAGTGCATGGACAGTAATTCAGAGATGTAACCTTGGACTAAGCCATGAAAAGCCTGAAATGTAATCAAAAGTATTTTAAATATTTCTTAATTGAACAGGCAACCAGTGTAATTTAACCGAGGGGGAAATGTGGCAGTATTTGGCAGTTACACACAAGTCTAGCACGAGCATTCTGCAGTCTCAGTGGCCTGGAATTAGGAAGTCCATATAACAAACTATTACAGCTGATTTGATGAAACTAACAACTTCACTCTAAAATCCAGCCGTCAAAAATATTGCTTTGGTCTTCAGGTTGGATACAGTCTGTCAAAATTTTAACTGTAGCATAAGTCAGGGGCACCCGAGGTACAAACTTTTCCCCCCCAAGCGGAAACTTTGGCTCGTACATAGGTTGCGCAAATATTGAAACTTCAAATGGGGGGGGGAGGGGCAAGGAGAACAGGGGGACATGGACATCCCCGGTGGGGGTCTGTAACCCCAAGGCCCCCCACAGATATGCCAACAATGTTAAACAGCTTAAAAATCCCCCAAATTTTATTCTCTTTAATTACTTTGAGATTTTGCTATACCTTCAGCAATGCCTATTAAAGCAGGTGTTTGAGAACATCTGTAAGTACAACACTCCTTTTGTATTAAACCTGAGGTGTCAAATAAATACATTTATTTTTCAAGATTTCTGCTACCCAATTATAACTGAAGAAGTATATATAAAAACAAAATGCATGACATTTCTTACAAATTAAGAAGTTCCTTTAAATATCACAAGTGGGTGTTAGGATGTAACTATTTATCAATCAATTGTTGGACTGGCAGTTTAGCTTCTTGCAAACTGAGTTTTAGTCAGCTGTTGACTGAATTTCTTTACTCGTCAAGATCTGGGTAGTTCTGCTGGCTACACATAGCAAACCATATAAAAAGGACTTGAAAGCAATCAGAGGTTGGCCTATGCAATTGAACTATCTATAAGCAAATAAAAGCCTAATTTTACACATGGTGTAAAATTCAAAACAAGTGCAAAATTCAACCACGAAAATATATCAAAAATTTAGTTAATGTGCACTGTCTAAAGTGAAAAAAAAAGAAACCATAAAATAAAAACTCAAACAAAAAGAAAAAAAAGAGACAAATAAACTGTCAAATTTTGTTTATTTTTTTACTCCAGTGGTAATATTGACAGGCAGGTTAGCAGCGTTGCAAAGAGAATTTCAATTGTACTTTTAACACCTTTTGATCAAGGTACTAATTGCAAAATAAAGGCACTCCTTGTTCATTTATTAGTTCAACCTTGTGCATATCGTCTTGTACAGGTAAGCAACTTCAAGGAAATTTGTGAGTGGCAAAAAAAATCATCACACAGAAAGTTTTAACCAAATCCAATATATTTTGAACATATTGAAAACGTAACCAAATGTTTGTCTGACCATCTCTGGAACAAATTCTGAGGATATGATAAGTGATTTTGTTGAAATGAGTGACACTCAGGTATGTCATCGGGCCTGGATTCAGTACGCTGCCTTCGTAACTTCTTTGCATGTACTTTGTGTATGCAGAAAGATTTTACACTGCACAAGAGATTAGATTGAGTTTTTCAATTGCAAGGGCATACATAAGAAATGGGGAGGAGGAAAAGCAGACCATCAGAATAAACTTGCACGCCCAGAACCGATATGTTAAGCATTTCTGATGTAAACATTTTGATGGGTGATCTTGGCTGTTGACATTTGAAACAATTAACAGACAAGTTTGGGACAAGGACTGTTTTGACAGAACAATCCTTTCTCATGTACCATGTCTTAAATCCGTCTGTCCTTTTTGCAGTTTTACAACCAAAAGAGGATTATATACCTAAAGATACCTCGCACTTTTTTTATTCATAGTAATTTGCATTATGCTGGTCAGCTGTGCTTCAAACAAAAATAAATAAAAACAACTATTGCAATTGTACAAATTAAAACATCAACTCTCTAAATTCCATCACACGGTTTGCAGCGTTACCAAGCTATGCTATTTTGTTATTCTAATTAAACTAATTGCTAGAGCACCGATCGACCCAAGTACTGGTGACACCGCGCTTTGTTTACATGTGTACTTTTCTATGGTGTTTAGTGGACCGTGGGCCCCCACTGGCTCCATAGGAAAGTGCACATATAGACATTCTTGTGACTTCATAAGTACATTGACCTATTCAGTTAGGTAACCAAATGCACTTGATACTTGACAACAAGCCTCACCTTGGGGTATCCTCAGCATTTGACGAAGGGATGTATGGTCATGCATTTCTACTTTAGCTAGTTCAATCTAGACGCAGCTAGGGCTCACTGAGAATAACAGATGAGCCGGCTGTAACTGGCATTCCATGCATGACTTTGTTTATGGCTGTAAAATGTAAGGCCTCCATGTTGTTTGCAACTTTTAAGCATACTTTCCATCATGTTCCCCACTAGAGGCAGGTTCATTGAATTTGATGTCAGGGAATATTCACAGCAACACTTACTGCATAAAAACGCATTCTTTTTTGCAAATTTTGAGCACGTGTTTAACTGGACACAAGCTATTCTTTTGTTAGGTAACGCACATTCAATGGAAAACATGATACGTTCAACAGTGAAACCTGCAATTTAAGCAGGAGTCTATTTTCTTTCACCTGTCAGTCACCTGACCCAATGTACTCCTTTCAAAGCCTGGCGATTGAACACAAGAATTTAACACGTCTACATGTACAACTAGGTGTTACCTTCTTCCAGTGCCTCATGTGTTCAGGCCAATCATTTTCTACCTTTTTCTAAACTGCACATAAATTTAAATGGAAAATATCCTCTAGACAGATAATAACACCAAAAAATTAGATTGGCCAAACTCCAGATAAAATGTCACAGCTTCATCAAATTATTTCATTTCCCTTCAACAAGGCTAAAATGCTAAACGTACAACCGACGCGTGTTCCTGTTTGCCCATTGTACTCAGCAACAGGCACTGCCCCTGGGCAAATCCTCAAAGCTCATCACGGAAAGAGTATCGATTTCCGCTAGGCTTCAGCTTGATGAAGGTGCTCTCGGGAGGGTCGGTGGGGGCCTTCTTTGCTGGTTCCTGGCTCCCGGAGGTAGCTTTGGCTGGCTCCTGTGGGGTCACCTTGTCCGGTCCGTGGTGGAACTCCCGGTGAAGTTTCCCTGAGTGCAGGTCGTCGACAAACTGCTTGAGTTTCCCGGGGGCGCTGCAGCAATGAAGTGAACAATGAAAGACACTCTGACGAGGAATCATACTGAGAAAATGCTGGCTGCTTCCAGGACCCCAGATGTGGGGAGTCAGGTTGGCATTCCCCCTCTGCGGCCCAGGGCCAATCGAAACATCTCTGCTTCCTAAAACAAGGGTCTACGTAATATTTCCTAGGCTGCATGCTTTATGAAAGACCCAACAATTAATCAATGGGAAGATGTGTATATGAAGGAAAAGTGCTTCCAATACTTTGTTAATTGCAGTTTCTCCAACTGCCGTAATTGATCATGCTGTCTGTGGATCTTTCACACAGCAAAATTAGCAATTTAGTTGCTTATTAACCCTCTATGCTGAAGTCACTCTTTGGGTCATTTGGTAAACACCTCAAAGAAGCACAGCTGTGTG